AACCATAAGGCCGAGGCCTCTACGTCCTGGAAGATTGGATTGGATTGGATTGGATTCAAGGTCAAACAGAGGGGCTTTGTTAATTTTTCCGCCACGCCATGTGCCCCGTATCAGCTGACTTAGCTTCTTCATCTGTCCCGGACTGCCTGGTGTTGCTTCCATCTATATTCTTCTCATGCGATAATATAGAAGACAAATTACCGATCGAAGAATTCAGCCACGCTGAGTTACTGATTCTGGATTCAAACATCTGTTTTCTGGAGGAATTGCGTTCTGTTTCGTACTCTAGACTGTGGTCGGAAACGTCAATGAACATAAGGAAAGGGTAGGAAACTCTGATTTGTGAAATATTTTCAAAGCGTTTCGAAAGAAGTTTCATGTCCTGAGTTCGAAGCACAAAATTCGATTGGAAAGGTTCAAATTATCATGGAGTTGGTGCAGCACCTATCTAATTGTGGTTCTGAAAATAATTTGATGATAAACAGCTATTTCCGATTGCGCACTCCAGACGAAAATTGTGTTCACAATGGATGTACAGAGATTTTGGATGTTACTATTTTTGAATCTGAAGTGGTTTCGATCTTGTCAGCCATTCTGTACAGTGAGTTTTCCCATGGTCAATTCAGGTTCACCTTCCTAGGCCTGCCGCAATTGCGCTTTCTACCGGCATTCATATTTGGCTATGTCACTCACTCTATTAACCCCAATCACAATTTGGTGCAAAGGATTATCAGGAATTTTCCAAATGAATGGTTTTCTATTTGGCGCCCATTATCTACCCGTTTCGTACACCAAATGGTCAAATCCGCCGACTCTTCCAGAAATAACCTGGTAGAACCAACTGAATCCACAAATCATGTACAATCACAAAAGGATACAGGTTCTCAGGCAATTCTTCTTCGGTTAGAATCCGTCGTTCGCAACCTGTTGCTGGTGAAGCCCATTCATGCACAACTTGTGATGGAGCATTGCGTAAGTTATGCCTTTTTGTTGTTGATTTTCAGGTTGGAAATCTATGCTTTACCTGTATAGTTACTCCACTGTATGTACTTTTGTCGTTGTCATTGTTCCATCCGATGCCCAATTGCAGTGGCAGATGAATCCGAACGGGTACATCATAGCGCCACACCTCATCGCTGGGCTGCATAGTATCCATCCCCCACAGACCACAGGTTTTCCGATTGGTTTATAGGTAAATGAGAATATGTGATCTATACGTGATGCACAGTTTTCGGCGACCCCAGCTGTGAACTGCAGGCATTGTTCCTACTTCGAAATCACGCACAAACTCTAGCAAAGTAGCAATTGGTTGGACTACTGCTGTTCTACCGCCTATCCCGGTGAGGGAGGTACTTACCAAATATGCCCTCCACCTGACGTCGTGAGAAAGAATAACAACGAAGTGTTCGGGCGTCGGTTAGACGGATTCCTGAGGTGATGGCACGACTCGTACACCTAAATCATGCCACTGATGAGGTGGCTCATATGGGACCGCCCAATGTTTCTGCAAAAATAAGAAGCGAACTTTTCTGATCGCTGCCTTATTTATAGTGTATAAAAACTAAACTCTTGCTGTTCGTTTTTGCTTGAGCGACGATAGAGGTGCACCTTCAAATTCAAGATTACGATGGTACTGGGATGTCACTTCTTCAGGGATTTCTATGATTTTCACACAGATACATAGTGACAGCCTGAAAATAAGCTATTACTGTTAAGTCAAACTTGGAATGCATAGGTATTTGCTTGGTCTACGGAGCCCGTCTAAGAAACCGCGTTCGGATGACATCTGAATACAGATTGATGATTGATTGGCACATAGTCCCAACAGACAAGCATCCAATGCCATGCTTTTTATCACGCTCTTTAGGAGGAAGGCGGTTAGGTTTTGTAGTCCCAGTGCATGAAAATCAATGGCGATGTACCATAGTTTAAAAATTCGAAATAATGTGCTTGTTTATTCGATAGAACTACGCATTTCGCATTCTGCAGCATTCAGTAGTTAATAGTTCAAAGGATAGTTGACCATTGGAATCAAGCTAATCTCTCATGCTTTGCACAGTATTCGCAGAAATTGTTTTTAAATAATAAAATGCACCCAAGTTTATTCTTGAATCTATATGTTCAGCATTACGCCGGGTGATTCCAATGAACCTTGTACTTAGATGTTTGCGTGACCAACGATGAAAGCACACACAAAATTTGTGTAATAAAAAAGCGAGCTCTTTCTTTTTCATAAAGATTATTGTACCGAGATTTGTTTCGCACAGTCTAGATTCAGACGTATGTAAAAATAAAAAATAAATAGTAGCTCCTCCGCCAGGTTCACCAACCCGAATGTTGGCTTCCCGTCCTCTCACTTTGTTTAGAAACACCGTCGCGGGAAGTCAGTGAGTAGTAGGGCCTCTTCAACAGACGCTTTTTGAGACACTTGGTTGCAAAAGAGCGTTTTGCGAGGTACAAAAGAAGGATAGTCACAACCCAAGACACCCACCTCCGACTATACTGAGGCGTTGGGTGACGCTTGGAATAATCCTAGCACCAGCGCCGCCGTGAGCGTTAGACATCGAGTCGCATGACACAATGAAGTGCGAGGATGTGGTCCGATCAGAATGATGATTAAAGTATTGTCTTGTATGGGTGTTTCAGAGGCAGTCTAAACTGCAAGTTTCAATAGTTCTAAGTATAAAGCAGCTTGTTTGCCAATTTGATAGTGTATGAACATTGAAAAGGAGATTTTAGTTTTATCAATCCCTTGGGCTGTGTAAACTGGAGACATTTCGTATGAATTAAGAGTGAAAGGGGAAATCATTCAGATCAGAAAATGGGTTTTCCCCATAGGTACCGGGGAATTCCAACTTTACCGGATAGATGCTTCGTCGTCAGGAGTGTGACACCGCGCTTCGGTTGTAATCGGTTTACATTCGGACATCAAGTTTCCCGAAGAGTTCAATGCATGAGGTGGTTAAACCGCAAAGAGAAAGTTTATCTGGTGCGGATGAATGGTGTTTCAACTGTGTCATCAGGTTTCGAAAAATTGTCTCATTAGTATATCGAGACAAAAATGTGAGATAATAGATAGTCTGAATGATATGGCTGTGTCGTAGGCAGACACTGCTTTCAACTTCCTAATCTTAATTCTACCAATTCATCAAAATGATATATATATGTATATATATATAATGTTTCACACACCTGACGCCAGACTGTGCCAAACAAATCATAGTACAATAATCTTTTGTTAAAAAGAAAGTTTCATGATTTGCATGTTAGCTGAATAGTGCCAGGCTGCCTAGGCCAAGGCAGGTGAATTTTCTTGAGGAATTCACAATCGAAGCTTTTGGCTTTCCAAAGCCTGACCCGCAAGGCAGCGAGGCGGTGTGTGGAAACCAAAATCCATTGGGGGCCGTTGTCCAGTTCATTGGATCATACGCCTTTTGGATGGGGTCAAACGTCCAAGATGCCCAACACACCTTGATGCCGAACCGAGCAGGTAACCACTGCCACAACCGGGTGGGCGTGTGTGGTTAGGTCACCTCCTTTTGGATGGTTTGAAATCAGGTTTTTTGGTCAACTCCCCTAGATGAGCTAGTAGTGGTCCACAAACCCGGTTATAGCCCCGGATGTTCGCTGTTCGTCCTCTCAGTTCGGTCGGAAAACACCGCCACGAGAATGCAGTGATTAGGGCTCATCCAAACGAGCAGCCAAAAGACAGCAACCAAAACCGACATACGAAGGTGCATGGTTGATGGTTGTTCAAATTGAAACTGTTCTTGAGGCTTATGTTGACAATGACCTCGCGTACGGATAATCATTCTGTTAGATGTCATCAAAATCACGCTAAATGATTGTTTAATCTTCAGGTAGTGACGCGTTGTCAATGATTGAGAAGCGTAACTTTTCGCGCTTCCGTTCGAACCTTATTCACGGTGATCTTTATATGTGCACTAAAGAGATGAGCTGGAACGGATGCAGCGACTATGCTTGCGAGTGCAAATGTGGCATCCAGTGTTAGGTGATTCTCTGATTCTCTGCTAACACAGTTGGAATTTTCTTTTTTCTCGCAATACCTGTAAATCTTATCCTTAGATACGCGACACATGTGTCGATCGTTTCCACATAAGCAGCATGTGGCTTTGACAGTGACTGACTTTTTCACGGATGACCTGTCTTTTTTGCAAGCAGAAAAGTGATCCGAAAAGCTGGTTCGAATGAACCCAATCCCGTAGTTGTATATGATGTTGCTTATAATGTCTATAAAGCGTTAGATTGTCATTTTCTGTTCAAGCGATCGAGTTTATTCTAAGGTATTCGGCGAATCCAAAGAATTTTGTTAAGAAAACGTAGTCGTCGAGTGCTTGATTGCATTCCGCCCGCGAATACGTCTCTAATGGGGCCACATTGTCTTTTCTCGGTATGTACTTTGTACCTTGAAAGTGTAAAGTGATGCTGCAGGACTGTTTGTCGCCTACTCCTGTTCTGAAACTAAATGACCAGGAATTAGTTATGCTGGATTGCTTTTCGTACTTGGCTGGTTGCCCGACCAATGACAGAAGCGCGGCAAAAGAGATGGCTGCTCGCAGTCATACAGTCCGGTTTGTCCACTGCTTGTTCTCCAGATCGCCAACCGCATTTTCCCAGGCCTGACAATGGATCTCATTCTATGGTTGCACGAACAAAACAAGTTGTCTGTCTTTTTACTCCTTAAACGTCTACTGCTGGACAGCGGCCCGGAAATTCGTGGTTGGATATGTGATTATCTGAAGCAAAAAACTGTGAGTTCCGTCTTGCTAGTCCATTCCCTTTTAAGTTTTCACTTCTGTGTGTGTGTGTCAACCATTCAATCGTACAGCGGTCGGTGGAGTTCGCTTCACTGTATTTCACCACCCAATAGTGAACACATACTTTTCACTATGCTTTTGATACTAGGTTCTATGACGTTGCATGGTTATACCTTGAGGATTGAAAATAGTGAAACAACCTAAATCGCTCTTGTATCGCCCAAAAAACAGGACTGTTTATTAGCTAAATATCACAGTGGCACCAAAAGTATCTGAAGTAGTCAAAAGTTGGACTCCCCGGCTGGGGACACCGTGACTGATCAGTGGTTAGGGATACCATAAGAAGTGAATCTGAATATCGTGAACAATGGCCCTCGTGCATCTAAATACACGTGCCCAGTTTACCCACATTATCTGTTTATGTTGAAATTGTTTTCAGCCTTTTCGTCCTTCATTGGTCGAGCAAATGGACAACAAACAGGCAGCAACGACAAACAGCGCACGACGGAGCAATTTTTGTGATTGTGTGCACTGAAACAAAAAAATCAAGTGATGGAAACAAAACTCAGAGGATTGCTTTGGGCAACTGATTGAACAATACTGGGTTCCCGTTTGCGAATGCTATCAGAAAGATGGAATTTCCTTGTTCTTTATTGCCGCTTGATGCTGACATTTATTACACAGTGGGTGTAATAACTGGTCCTTTAGTGAACTGAAGTAATGAGATCGTTCTCATATGAGTGGGTTTTGATTGGGATTGGGTTAAGGCGTTTTTTGGTTCTGCAATTTCTCATTTGGATTAATGCATTTGGTTGTTTTTTTGTTGCTCACTTCTAGGACCACTTGAGCAAACTTGATCATCATTTGATCGAGACCGTATCGTCACTCATACCGTCAGATTCATCATCGCCCTTGTCGGACGATGTCATTCTCAGCGCCCTGACGTTGCTGCGCGTTCTCACCGCATTGCGCGGGTTTGTGAATTATGTGTGAGTTTTATGCATCTTCACTTTGCCTACTATTAGATTGAAAGTAGGCAAACACTGAATATGTCACATTTTGGTTCCTAACCTGGATTTGACGTTACACAAAACGACCGCCTTGGCAATTTTGAAATGTGATCGAATCCACGGTATATATTTTCCCGTAAACTTTCTCTCAAGTTTTATTA